ACTTTTAAATGTTTTGTGTCATTAGTGAAGTAAATTCACAGTCTATTGAGATGAAGACTGCAGTAGAGCCTAACAGTATTAGCATGAAATAAAAGATTTTAAGACGTTCAAATGTTTAATAACAAAATGAACAGTAAGACGATAAATTTCCCCAAATCAAAATAAATCTTTAAGCTTTATGCATTGAATAAATTGTTTCACGTGGCCTTAACAATTGTGTAAATCGTTTCCCTAAAGAGAAAAAATCTCACAACAAAATGTAGTGGCTTCTACAGTGGACAGTGGCTGCATCTGCTCAACAATAAAAGCTTTTTTTTTAGTTTAGTCGAATGAATTGTTTTACCCGAAGAACGTGAACTGATGTAATCATTTGCTGTTTAGCTGGAGCTGGGGTGCAGGTGTAGTGCTTTGCATCCAGTTTTGTTTTTTGATGTCTTGTTTCTTGCAGTTGTCAAGAGTTTTACTTACTCTACACTTAATGACAATCGCTTCTTTGATCGGATGAGTTCTAAATAACAAGAATCTATTGCAAAAATGCAAGTCTCTGATCTGCCATTGTTTCTGTTTCTGACTGTCTGTAGTGATGACAGGGGATTCTCAAATAAATCGTTTGATTTTAACCTGATCTTCTAAGTGAAACGGTCGAATTAGGGCCTACTCACACTATACCATCCGTACCGTGCCCAGGCCCGTTTCCCGGATCGTTTGAGAAGTGTGAGTGCGCTGAATCGGGCTCAAGCACGGTTTACTTGGCCGGCCCTGGCCCGGTTGGAAGAGGTGTGCCTGAGCGCGGTACACTTGGGCTTTGGCGCGGTACGCTTGTGTGCGAGTGCGAAACGCGCCAAAGCCCGAAACCGAAAGCGAGACGTGACTTTTAAGGGACTGTTTGATATGGATTTATTAATCATTCTTACTGTTCAGTGAACGCAAACTGCCGTAGTTTATTAAAGACGCAAACTCCTCACAGCACGCCAGCTGCGCGCCTTCAGACCTCCTCATTCCTGCAGCACGAGAGCTTTGATTGTTTATGAGCGCCAAAAGTGGCGGATCTGTTCGGTAAAATATCTGACTGCGTGTCCCCGCATCCCTAAGGACTGTTTGGCGAAATATTTGACGGCATGTCACTGCATATCAAACGACTGAAAGGATATAACTAGAGAACTCTCCACTGTGCTACTGAGTGAGAGCGTATGGCAAGCCGTTTTAACATTTAAACCTTGTTCTGACTATCCATAAATATATTTACAGATATAATTACATATTTTGACAAGTCATTATTATAAATTGACTTGTCAGAATGACAATTAGAGATATCTGCAATTACAATTGTACTAGTACGAAATCAGATTGGAGATATCTGCAAATATATTATGACTATCATATTCCTCCATTGACTTCCATTGAAAAATATTTGCAGATATCTCTAAATGAGTTTTGACTCGTCAAAACTCCAATTCAAGATATCTACAACTGTAATTCGACTATTAGTAAATTAATTAGAGATATCTTCAAATATATTTGTAAATATCTCTAAATATTACGCATTAAAGACATGTATGACTAGTAAAAACTCAGTTAGAGATATCTCTAATTACAATTGTGACTTGTCAAAACTCCTTTAGAGATATCTGCAAATATTTTTCAATGGAGGAATATGACTAGTCATAATATATTTGCAGATATCTCCAATCTGATTTCGTACTAGTACAATTGTAATTGCAGATATCTCTAATTGTTATTCTGACTAGTCGAATTATAATTATGACTAGTCAAAATATAATTAGAGATATCTCTAAATATATTTATGGAGTCAGAACAAAGATTTAAATGCTAAAAAGGCTTGCCATAGAGAGCGCTTCTGAACAGCGCAGCAGCGATGACGTAAGCGTGCCGAGGCCTGATATGGTGTGAGCGCGGGCCGTCGGGGGAGACGGGAGGGGGGACAAGCGTGCTTTGGCCCGGTTCGAGGCAACTGTACCTAGTGTGAGTACGGCCTTAGGTGTTTGTGTTTTCAGTACTAACATACTGGTCGACTCAAAATTAACCCATATCCTGAGTTATTTAGTTACTAGAACAGTACACTAACTCATCTTCTGTGAAAAAGTGTTTTCATTTATAACGTTACCCCCAACACTGATCATAAACACACTTTTTGTTGTACTAAATATATTCCCTTAAGATTTAGAATAAAGAAATAAGAAGAAAAAAATACAGATTTTTAAAATACAAATTTATTATATGACATATTTGAAAAAAATCTAATCTGTAGTTTTTAATTAAAAACTGTAGCCTATTATCATATTATTAGGCAAATAGCAAACTTAGCAGAAAACAAATATCAGCACATTCAACTTTCTCAGTCAGGATTTGCCCATTTGAATATTGAACAATTAAAACATAATAATAATAAATAATAATAATAATAATGATAATAATAATAATCATAGTGACGCAGTAGGTAGTGCTGTCACCTCACAGCAAGAAGGTCGCTGGTTCGAGCCTCGGCTGGGTCAGTTGGCGTTTCTATGTGGAGTTTGCATATTCTCCCTGCATTTGCGTGGGTTTCCGGGTGCTCCGGTCTCCCCCACAGTCCAAAGACATGCGATACAGGTGAATTGGGTAGGCTAAAAATTGTCCGTAGTGTATGAGTATGATTGAGTGTGTTTGGATGTTTCCCAGAGATGGGTTGCGGCTGGAAGGACATCTGCTACGTAAAAATGGGCTGGATAAGTTGGCGGTTCATCCAGAATAATAAAGGGACTACGCTGAAAAAAAATTAATGAATAATAATCATGTAAAGCTTAACAATTTATAGCCTATCTTGTAAAAAAAAATTATATTTTGCAAATTTTTAATAATAAAACAGGAACAGCTGAATTTAATTGTCCATTAAATATTTTCTTTTTAAATTTCAAGTAGCAACTAAAAGTAAAATGCACAGTATTTTTGTTGTAATCTTGTAGCAGTTCTACCATTACATCTCTTGAAGGAACACTCCACTTTTTTGTAAACAGACTCATTTTACAACTCACCAATAGTTAAACAGTTGCGTTCTACCATTTTTAAATCCATTCAGCTGAAATCGGAGTTGGTGTGAGCCCTGTTAGCACCATGGTATGGCAGCAAAGTTTCTAGATTACTTTGCCAGAATGAGAGTATAGTTCCTAGTCATATCTGCCTAGAAAACAGCAACTTTTCATTTTTTGTCAGTCTTAATACGCAATGTAGCTACAGAAGAGTCGAGCTTTAAATAGGATCTTTTACATTTATTTATTTGAGTGAGATGCTAATGGTCTAATCTGATTCAATTATGCTGAGCTAAAAGTGCTCCCAATAGACTCTGAGATGGATTGAATGAATTCAAAATTCATAAAACTCAACTGTGTAACTCTAGGGGATTTGTAAAATGAGCATATTGTCAAAAACAGTAGTGTTCCTTTAAAAGTTAGATTTGAAGTGGAGGTCACAAACTTTCTATTGCAATGCTTTTCCTTTTTAGGTAGCAAAGTAGCTCAGCGACTCTTTTACAGGCTCAAGATCTGATTGTGTGCTTTAATTTGTGCACTGCTGTGGAAAAACTCATAGTTTCACTGTGAACCAGTCACAGATTGAAGAAACACCAAGATCTCTTTAAAATTCTTGCACTGCCCTCTTGTGGCAATAATATCCTTAAGTATATATACTGCCTTCCATCTCAAATCTCTAATAACTAATTAGTTACTCTTAAGAGTTTCCCGCAGTAAACTAAGCACTGTTCAATTCAAGTAAGGTATTTGTTGTAATAGTTAAGTATATGAATAAGGGATATAGAATATGGTCATGCAGAATAGACATTATGTGTCTGTAAAACCCAGTTCTTCAATTGCGACAAACCATTTTAGTTCAAAAACTAATCCTAATGAGTACTGTCAGCTTAATCAATTTGAGTAAATGAAGCAATTTGAGCACAGTAAAACCAGATAAATGAGAACTCAAACCAACTGAGCACTGTAAAACCCAAAAAGTTAAGGCAGCTTAAACCGTTTGAGGAAACCAATTGCTACAAACCATTTGAGTAATAAAAAAACCAATATATATAAGTACTGTGAACTTACTCCATTTAAGTTGAAGTAATGAGGTATTTAATTAACTCTTTACCTTCAACACTGAGTTCAAAACTCTTTTCAAATTAGTGGAATTACCTTTCAGTACATTTTGAGTTTACCACACTCATTTCATTTGATAAAGTTGACTGTTGGGTTTTATAGTGTGATTAGAGGTCTTCTTACTTCTTATCTGGGCCCAACGTGCATCATTATTTTATTTTTCAAAGAAAATCTTGACCCAAGACAGACCAGATCAAATTAGACCACCTATTGTTTAAGTCAGACCAGCCTAAAAATACAACTTTAAAATCTTTTTAAACCTCCTAACAACTTACCTTGATGAATAAAAACTCTAAAACATTAAACAGCCAATGTTTCCTCTTCTGTTTTTTTTAATCTCTTCATACGAGAGAGGCCAAATTAGTTTCTTGATGAATTTCAATAAACAGCTAAGGTCATACCACACTTTGAAGAAAGACTTCAGAAAAGAAAATCACTCCTGCTTTTGTTACCTCACAAAAACACATTTATGGACCCCCATCTGGGAAAATGGGAATGTTTTGCACCCTCTGTGTGATTCATCTCTCTAAAGTTTGCTGGGGTTGAAGTGCCTCAGAACCAACAAGGTGGGAGATGCGATGTTATTGTACCCCCTCCTGATCATCTCCTGCTGGAGCAGAGAACTGCTCTCCATGGGTAGCGAGTGGAGCTTCAGCTCTGAGAGACTCCCTCATGTGTGCCGTCATGCTGCTTTTCACTGCTTTATACTCCCCTCAATACAGTATCTGCACTTCCCTGTGCCTCCTTGAAGGTTGTTTTTTTTATGAGTTCTTCACTTTCTGCAAGGCTTAATTTAGTCCTTTTGCTCTTCACAGGCAATTCTTATTCATATTTACTGTTTTCTTTATCTGACAGGATGATATGAGCGATTCCCTGCGGGACTACACTAACCTGCCTGAGGCTGCACCTCTCCTCACCATCCTGGACATGTCGGCTCGCGCCAAATACGTTAAAGATGTTGAAGAGATCACACCGGCTGTGGTAGAACAGTTTGTTAGTGACTTTCTAGCAGAAAAGCTCAAGCCAGAGCCCATCTGAAGTCCTGGACTGCACTAAACCCTCCCACAGCCGTTACCCGAACCTCCATCTGGCCCTTGGCCTCCAGGCGTGCACTCTCTTCTCTTCCTGTCAGACTGTTTGAACAGAAGCATACTTTGTATTGACATTTTACTTCTTTTTAAACGTGCCCCTCCATCACGAAGCGGCCGCCTCTTCCTGTGGTGCCTTGCATTTACTACAGCGCTGATGGTCAAATGCAGATCTCTACGTTGATTGTCTTTGCCATAACATTTAGATTAGATCGAACCCTGCAGCTCCAAGTGAATACCTTTTTTTTTTCATCAAGTATTTTCTTCTATCCTTGGATATTGTTTTAAGAATCAAGAGCTTAGAATAATTATAGCTTGGTAGATGTATTATTTTTCCACAGACACTGCACATTTTCCATTGTGTATGTACGGCCGTGATTCTCTTATGGGTGCTGATAAATATGCGTACATGCTGATGTTGATATCATTGTATAGAAGGCACTATCTATTCTTTGTGTAGCTGCCGCTGTTTATTTTCAATGCAGTTGTCTGGAATCTGCCCACCTCCGTGTTTGATATTTGATGTTGTCGGATGACTGATCTGTTCCCTACTCAAACATGACATTTTAGTGGATTTTCTGTGAAGGTCCCCTGTATTAATGCAGTCTTATGTTTTTGAAGGCACAATAAACAGCATCTAATAGCAAGCTTCCCTTATGAAATGTAGCCAATTAAAGCACACTGTCTGTTCTTGGTTGTGTTTGAACTGATGTCATAGCCATTAAAAGTCACTGTTGAAAATGTGTTTCTCTTAATGGTGCTTACAATGGACACACACTTGCTAAACAGTTTCTGTAGATGCATTCAGTATCTTCATTTGCAGAAAATTTAGTCAATTCAATCATTTTAATACAAATATAGTAATAATTTGAATAGTTACTGATCCAGTGTTGTGGCAATGCAGTGGTACAGTAGGTAGTGCTGTCGCCTCACAGCAAGAAGGTTGCTGGTTTGACCCTCAGCTCAGTTGGCATTTCTGTGAGGAGTTTGCATGTTCTCCCTGCGTTTGTGTGGGTTTCCTCCGGGTGCTCTGGTTTCCCTCACAGTCCAAAGACATGTGGTACAGGTGAATTGGGTAGGCTAAATTGTCCATAGTGTATGAGTGTCTGTATGAATGAGTGTGTGTGGATGTTTCCCAGAGATGGATTGTGGTTGGAAGGGCATCCGCTGCATTAAAAAAAATGTGCTGGATAAGTTGGTGGTTCATTCCACTGTGGTGACCCCAGATTAATAAAGGGACTAAGCCGAAAAGAAAACAAATGAATCAATGATCCAGTATTAGTTTTTATAATCAAACTGTATGCTTGTAATCTCAGCATTGATACTGCAATTCTCTTCTAATGCTGCAGGAAGGCTTGAATATTTAATTTTGTGTGCTTATTTTTTAGATTCTAAAGATTAGCATTCAGTTTTACCATATTGAAATAATTTTTAAAGATACTTATGGAAAGTCTTATGTAAAAAAAGGTATGTTTATATTTCATAAACATCCTATTTTTTATGAGGGCTACATACTTTATTATAAACCTTTGTAATTTACCAAAATATGTTACAAATTATTTTAATTACCTTTCCTTTTTTTATATGAAATCTAAAACTTTCCAACCCTAAACGTACACCACCTGACAAAAGTCTTGTCATCAATCCCAGTTGTAAGAGCAAAAACAATAATTACTTCTCACAGAAATCAGTCAAGTTTGGTAAAGGAAAAATCATGGTTTGGGGTTACATTTGGTATGGGGGGTATGCGAGAGATCTGCAGAGTGAATGGCAACATCAACAGCCTGAGGTATAAAGACATTTGTGCTGCCCATTACATTATAAACCACTGGAGAAGGCCAATTCTTCAGCAGGATAGCGCTCCTTCTCATACTTTAGCTTCTACATCAAAGTTCCTAAAAGCAAAGAAGGTCAAGATGCTCCAGGATTGGCCAGCCCAGTCACCGGACATGAACATCAATGAACATGTCTGGAGTAAGATGAAAAAATCATTAAAGATGAATCAAAATAATCTTGATGAACTCTGGCTGTCCTGCAAGAACACTTTTTGCTATTCCAGATGACTTTATTAATAAGTTATTTGAGTCATTGCAGAGATGTATGGATGCAGGTGTCCAAGCTCATGGGAGTCATACACAATATTACCCTTTTTCCACTGCACCATGACTTTATATTCTGTACATTTTTTCTGTAAGGTCTCAAGACTTAAGTCTAAGCAGTCAGACCTTACTGCCCTAATTAAATGATTAAAAATCAAGGCATGATCATATTTTATTTTGATAAAATAAACAATCTAAAGGCCTTTGCCTTTCATATAAGCCACTTCTGATACCTAATGATCAACTAGAAGTCGAGTTATTACTTGTTGTTCCTAAAACTTAGATGGGCGGCAAGACTTTTGTCAGGCAGTGTGTTTATTACCTTGTATGCTTTAACTCTACAAACACTCAGGCGCCCTCTAGTGTATCCAATAATAACTAGGAGAACTGGACAGCATTGATGAAATCCCTTTTTTCATTACAAGAAAAACACTCTACTACAACATTTTAGTTCTTGCTCTTCTCCGCAATTTGTCCGACAACATCAGAAGCTGCCGTCTGCCTTCAAACAGCAAAATACCAGCAGCCATGGCAGAGTTCAGACTCTCCACTCCTGGAGCCATGGGCACAAAAAGCCTCTTACCATCCGTTTCCTCAGCCAGACGAAGAGCCTCCACACTCAGTCCATGCGTCTCTCCACCAATGACCAGGGCTGTGCTCCTCTGAGCCCAACATTCATGGTATACCTGAGGCTTCACATGCGGCAGAGAATCTTCATCTTTTTCATCATCATCATCATCAGAGTCGCTTTCACTGTAATCATCTGAAGAAGCGTTCTCTGTTTGACCTGAAACGAGTTGTTTTGTTGAAGTGCTATAGTTATCTGCTACATGGACAATCACATTCTTCGGTAAGTGCTTAGAAATGTCGTCCCAGTCTAAATTTGGAAAAACTGGAAGGCGGAAATGAGCTCCCATAGCCGAACGTAAAACCTTGGGCTCCCAGGCATCCACACAACCTGAAAAAACAAACAAACAACAACCGTAAACAAACAACAGTCAATGCTTTGAAAAAAAGAAAGATGTTGAGGAGAACAATTGCCAGTAAAGTCACTTAAGTTACCCAAACTCCTTTCTGCTGTTCTAACACTATTGGGACAGTAGGTTGGGACAAAATAATTATTATTATGCCTATTATTTGTAGTATTTTCATAGCAATTTAAACTCCCCCTTCAATATGTACAACAAGAAACAAAAGCTAGAGTTTTGACTGCATAAAGTCTGTGGATGAATGACTGAGTGTGTGTCTAATGCACCCTGTAATTTGCATCCTGATCACCAGCACAGACTAATGGTAGTGTAGACTGAAGTTGTTTACCAGCCAACTAGCTCAGTAGGGTTGACTTTTGGTTGAGTGGTACGGTACGGTTCGGTACACTTTTATGGCCGTTTCCACTGTCAAAGGGTACCTAAAAGCGAACCATAACATACCACATTTTGGTCACCCTTTGCAGAGGGTACCTAGCACGAAAAAAGTGTACCAAAAGGCGGAGCAAGACGCACAGCTGAACGCTATTGGTTTACAGAGATACGTCACTCGCAGAAGCAGGAGAATTAAAACAAAGGAACTGCCATTTTTAAAAACAAAGCCGAGACATTCCACCGTAGTACTATATGCATATAATAACAAGCCATGGTCAACCCGAGCAAAATCCGCCGTGTGCTGTTGTTGTTTTTTGAGCCCGTCTAAAAGTGCGAGCGGTTTCACCTTCTCCAGAGAGCTAGCGCACGTATTTATTTGAAATAACAAACTTCTTGAGCTCATATTAATAAGGTGTGCGTGATCGTTGAAGTGCTCTAATGTCCGATCCTTTTAGAAATGGACAAACTTGAGAGTGAAGTGCGTAAAAACAAAAGAGAAGCGGGAAAAAAACAGCAAATGATGCTGCAATGTAATGTACTTTTTGTTTAATGCCAAGTCAGCAATCAAGGCTATTCTCATGGCAGGAACATTTCAATAATAAATATACAATTAATAATCAACAGACAAATAAATACATAAATTAAATAAGATTTTTAGTGATAATACATGATAAAAATTCTAAATTCTAAAACCCTTTCTGGTGTCACTTTGCTAAAAATTTAAGAGTTTAAAAGAGTTTGAAATAGTCTTTAAAAGAGTTCATTTCATAAAGAAGTCTCCAGGAATCCTTAAAAGCAGGACAGTCCAGTAAAATGTGTTTTATAGTAAGGGGTTTTCACCTTGGAGCAAAAAACCATGGGTCATTCTTGTATGTCCAATACAACATCTGTTAAAAACCACTTAATCAAATCAAGTCTTAAAATGTCTTTAAATTTCAGGTTATATTTCACATCATTTATTATTTTCTAATGCTTCCCATTCCTCATGCCACTTGTTTAAAAGGGATTCTAATGGCAGTCTGTCATTGCTTCCTGGAAAAATACATTCCTCTGTAAAGAGTCTTTGTGTAATCTTTGACTCTGAGCTTAAATTTGATGGGCAAATTATTGCGGTTGTCGAAAATAGTTTTTTCTATTTTAGATATATTGCCAAGCTGAAGTCTGTCCTCTCTTTCAGTGACTTGGAGAAGGTTGTTCATGCTTTCATCTCTTCTCGTCTGGATTATTGCAATGCATTGTATGTGAGTGTGAGCCAGGCCTCTCTCTCAAAACTGCAGCTGGTCCAGAACGCAGCTGCCAGGCTCTTAACAGACACACAAAAAACGAGAACACATTACACCTGTACTGGTTTCTCTACACTGGCTGCCAATCCAGTTTAGCATTCAGTACAAAGTACTGCTGTGTGTTTTTAAATCTCTCCATGGGCTGGCCCCTGAGTATGTTTCTGAGCTAATTAATATACACCAACCTGTGAGATCTCTTCGCTCTAAGGATCATCTTTATTTGACAGTCCCACGATCACGCTTAAAATGTCGAGGTGATAGAGCTTTTCCAGTAGCAGCTCCAAGACTCTCCACTCTCCTAAAGAACAGCTCCAACTTTTGAGTCTTTTCAGAGATCACTGAAAATACTTATTTTCTTTAGCTTTTAATCATGTGATGTGGGTTTATGTGTTTTGGTTTTGTGTATATTTGCATGTGTTTTATGTACAGCACTTTGGTACCCATTGCAATTATATCCTGCTGCAGGCCCGCAGAACCACACACGTTTTAGGCACACACAATCTGGCACACACAATCTAGGCAAACCATATATGGTTACGACAGAAGTAAATGTTAGTAATGTCTTCTTGGACATAGTCATCGATATATTTTGATATGTATAGTCAATAAATATTGTGAACAATAAACAATAGTGTTTACTTTATTTTACAAATTTTGCGATCGAGACGGGCGAATGGGGAACAGTGTTTCCGATCGCCATTCATTATAATAGACTGAACAGTTTTCTATCAGTCATTATTGTCTGACAGAGTCAATATAGCAGATACTCGTTTGCTGGCCTTGCTGAACGATCTTGCCCAAATTGAACAAGTTTAATTTATATAATGGATTCATTTATAATGAAGGAAATAATAGCAAGTTAATATAGGCAATAATACCTTTTATATGTAATCAAAATCTTTTTACAAAAATGTATAACACGATATTAATATTTTACTCAAGCAATTAAATAGTTTGTATTTGCTTAATTTTCTAATAACTTTAATTAATGATTTCCC